GTGAAATGCATACACTGGCGAACATTTGTAATAATTGTACAGATGGGTCAAATTTGATTAAAGCATTTATAAACAGGCATTCGCCGACTTCTTTTTTGTTCGTGCAACTTTATTGAAGAAAATATTTTTTTGTAGGACTAGTTTTGATGATAAAGCCTTGATATAAATATTCGGGCTTCATGCAGCAAATATTAGGTAAATGTGCTGCATCACTCTTACTGAAAAGGGCCGTACACTCGACCACAGATCGCAAATCAACATTACATTGTGCTGACTTGTGTAAACTGCCTAATCCAGCATAAAAATAAAGCTGGGTGGTAATTCTCTGTGATCCTGCCTTTGAACTTTCAGGTTATTTTATAAGAGGAAATAATTTCACATATTCAAGTGCAAATGCTCTCGTCTACTTGGCCATTTAATTCTCTTGCAACAGTGCATTGGGGAACCTTCTGGAGAGGACAATCATGTTTTTAATTAAATTACACGTATAAATGTATTCATCAATTTAACATATTTGTATTTTCTTTCTTATTAAAGCATGCACCAGTATATTCAACTACCTGCAGAAATAAATAAAAAAAACCGCAACATATAGCCTCATATATCACGCAACTATCCTCACATTGTTTGCCATGTGGTCTTATTTAACGCGATTGTAAACAAAAGCAACGGGTTTCATGGCACAAACCACTTTACATAAGCAGCGAAATTGGTGCTCTTTGTAAGAAACAAAACTGAAATCAAGAAAAAAAATCTTCTCGACGCTTGAACAAAAAATTGGACGTAAACAAAAGATCACTCAACTGAGAGTAACAGACACTGATAAACGCTTTGCTGGGCCCTATGTAATTAGATGTGAACTGAATTGCCGCAATTACTGGCAATGCATTTCCAGTATTGAGCACGGCAGTCTGAAGACCCTTTACTGGAACCCCATCGAGGCCCGGGAGTAATTGAGACCCAACTGTAAGCTCTTTACAGAGGGGAATATTTGAGCAAAGTGCCATCAAATGCTCTTGGGAATGAATGAATGAAGAAAGTTGGCCAAGCCTTGGATAACTGACTGAGGGATCAAGACCCTAGCCCAAGAACCCATGTCATTATCAATCTAAGAGTTGTGCACGCGCATATACGTATGTATGAATGTACAGACCTATGCAAAGGCAGAAACGTACCTTTTTGTTATATTTTGTGTCATGAGCATGCTCTCCCGACATGCAAGAGCGTGACAATTAAATGAGAATCATAAAACAAAAATGCACAGCCAAATTGTTTGTTTACGAGCTCAGTTATTACCTCGCAAGCAAAAAACGCTGCCTCGGAACAAAAACGTTGCGGGGTAACACTGAGCCGATAAATGGCTGCGCAGAAATGCCCTTCATTTACCCAGGAAAGCCTCATTTGGCCTGGAGACCCTTTTCAGGTGGGCTCTGCAGGCACCGGGATGTTTGGCCACACCCCATTAAGTGTTCACGTCGATGTGGGCAGAAACCAGAGGGTGCGGAGAAAATCCACGTGTATGACGGACAAGACTCGGAAGCTCCTCACTGATAAGATAGATTCGAGCAACCGTTGCTTAAACCGCCATCTCCCGGTCACCTCACAGCACAAGCCTACAACGCCTGACTCTCTCAAGCAGTCATTCAATGCCATTGGGGTCATATGCAGCATCTAGCCCGAGCATTAGTTAACTATACTCGTGTAAGATATCACTGAAGCAAGCCGTCTGATATGAAGTGGAATAGTATAAATGACAAATACACATAATAGACATGAGTACAGTAAATGCCATCAGTATATGTCCTTTTAGTCGCTTTCGCGACCAATATTATTCATAACATAGGTTTTTGGGTTAGATCGCGTAAGTTTCAACGTGTCGAAGCCCTCCACCACCCGACACAACCAATAGGCAAATCGCCCGATGATGCTGGATGTAATTACCAGGGAAACGTCGTACCACTCAAATTGTAAATGTTGTGGATTTACTCTCCAACACAGCGGTGGGCTGAAGTAGTAAACTATTTGGCGTTTTGTTTACGTGACAAATCCCATACATATTGGCTGTGTCGGGTGGTGTAGGGTTTCGACGCATTTATACTTACGTGATCTAACCCAAAAACCTTTATTATGAATATTATGAGTATATGTCCTGCTCCTAAGGTAAGCGAATGAGAGATTAATTTATCAGCTTTATGACACTTAAAAGTGTAAGCGATTCCCTGCTCCGTCAAGTATTGAGGTGGTGTGCACATCTCTTGTTTACAGCACTGGACATGTGGGGGAAATTCCACATTCATATGGTGGGGAGCAGGGGCCCAAGTCTATGGCATGGAACAACCATCGTTGACTTCTTCCACAAAGTGGTATTCACGTTATTAACCAGGAGGGATGATTGGCTGAGCCAACCCTCAACCAAGATTTGAACTCGTTACCTCCTCATCACGGGCTGCCTGCTCCGCCACCGATCCACCTTGCCGGCATTACACAAGCGGCTTTAATTTAACGCATAATTTCCTACAATGTGATGAAGCCAACAGTCTTCTGTAAAAAAAAAATCAAACCGTATTGCAGACGATGTAAATATATCTATATATATGTCCTCTATTTCACTGCTACAAGAGGGAATGTTTTTTTCTCTCTCCCCGATTCTAATGGTTGTTTGATAACAAAGGTGGCATGCGGAATTATGATGTTTCGCAGCCTGTAAGCTGTCAGATATAAACTGCGTTACTTTGCCCGTGTTTACTGCGCAAAGACATCTCCCGATAAAATATTTATGAATTCTCTCAAGCGTGGTGCTAAGCTTGCGAATAAGTACACTGAAACATTAGGGCATTGCCGGAATATTCTACGGCGGTAGTGGCGTGTCTAAATGTGGAAACAACATTCCCGTAACAAGAAAACATTTCGGGGAGAGGGTAAAATAACCCCCCCCCCTCCCCCCACAAAAAAAAGGTCTACGTGAAATAATACGTAAAACGATTTGTTTACTTGGGAAGGATTCCTGTGCGCGTACGGCTGATTTAACATGCACACTTTGAAAATAAAAATAATGTTTCCCGTGCAAGTTTGAGACGCCCGGACAAGTACAATCGTTCTATTAACGGAAATCGTCATCTCGGAGAGTTCCCTTAAAGCTTCCCCATCGCGTGATTGTAGGCGCTGCCATAAACGATGATTTTTGCGTTTTCACTTGTTTACGTTGTGTTGGAGTCAGGCATCGCTCGTGAGCAAGGGTATAAAAGGTACATGCGTGTATCAATTTACATAAATGCACGTATTGTGTGCAATATTAACCCACGGGAGTCGATGACTGAACATAATGTCAGTGTAGAAATGTGTTTTCAAGTTGCACAATGAATGTTGTCAGCAAACAAAACACATTGTGGGAACCACTTATGGGTGGATATTGTGGTCTACAAGTTTACAGACTTCAACCTTGCCCAGTATGATCAGACCTCAGAAGCTAAGCCGACTTGGACTCGGTTAACACTTGGATGGGTAACAAACAGAGCTTGCCATGTTTTGTAGGCCTGGATATGCACAGTGACCAAGAGATGGCATAGAGACTTTCCTCAATAAACATTTGACATTATTACCCTGCATACTATGTAACTATTGTGGTAGAGTAGGCCAAACTACCATCTGTATAGTTCCCTCTAGTGGAGGCACCTTCCATCGGCAGCGGCATGGGAAAGTAATTGCAGGGTTGCACATTTACCCTTTAGTGTGCAGCTGCTGTAGCAATGTATACAAAGTTGAAAAATCTTTGTTCGCGTTACGTGATGTGTGTTTATAGTCCAATATCCACTGCTGGATGGGAAAATCCACTGCAGTTAGCCGTGGACTGCAAACCACTATTCCGCCCAATTTACTTTTTTCTTTGCCTACAATGTCCCTGCTAACCGGCGTTAAATGTACACAATGTCTACACTTGAAGATTGTGTTATGAACACTTGAGAAAAAAAAAAACACATACGGCAAGACGAGACTGTTTTTATTTCAGAGGCACTTTTATCCTCAATTGACTATTCATAATATCCAAGGGTCTGGAGGATTAAAGCTGGCTGAGTGGAAAGCGCTTTACAATAAAAGGGCAAGACCCCAACTCCTCTTGCTCTTAGCACCCGATAACTGCACAATTATTCTGCCCATCAAGGCTACTAATAATGAGCTAATTAGGGTAATTGTTCACAGGACTCAAAAGCTCCTCTCCAGTGACCCCTGAAGCTACCTAGCACACTCGTGTGACCTGGCATCATCACAGACGGCGACTCTGAGCCACAATGAGCCTAATTAGCTTTGGGGAATACATCCAATTTAAGAATAATTAAAGATTAAACCTAGAGGAAGGGAGAGAGAGAAAAAAACATCTTCTAAAGAACACGGTCGTTTAAGAAATGCTGAAAAACAACTCAACCGGAAACACGCTCCCCCCCCCAAGTCCCTTATGAAACGGTGCACGAAAGCGCTTAAACATTAATCAGATAGGATTTATTTTTTAATTAAAACATCCTATTCCACCACACTCATTTTTTCCCATATATATTCATGCTTTTATTCCAGCTTGAAAAAGCACTTCCGACCGATGGCTTCGGTATCCAAAGCATTGCCACTTTTGATGCTTTATCAGTGACCATCACACGTTTTAATATTTTTTTGTTCACCAGAGTCTGGTTCACATTATTCACAGCAGCTGTCTACAATTTAGCATTGACAGAACAGAACAAAACAAAACCCCCGGTTTAACATTTTTAACATGTTTCACATACGAAGTCAAAACATTTCGTAAATTGCAAAACATTTCAAAATAATCACACACATAATGCATTGCCCTGATTCGCATGCCAAGTCCGAATTATGAATCGATGAAAGGTGGTGACTACCGCGTGAGTATAAACAGCGCCACGTGCCTGTCGTGCACGCCTGCATTTAGTAACCTCACCCACGGTACATGCTGCAGTAGTGGCTGCTGAATGAGGAGTGTGTGTTATACTCACTTGAGGAATTGGCTAAACTCTTCGCAGACGGTTTCGCAGCCAGGCCATTTACAGACGCCGTGCCCGTACAGAGCGTGGTCCCTGCCGAAGTCCTCGTGCGAAGAGCTGCAGTCGGACGTAAAAAAAAAACGTTAAAAAAAACGTTGAAAAAAACAAAAGGACAAAATAGAAATTGACAACAATGACACCTTGAACCGCGGCCACACGTCTCGTCCTCTCATCTCTCGCAGTCGCGGTGTGACCACAAGTGGAGCACAACAAACGCTAAAACTTCACAGCGGGGGCGTCTCGATGCCACGGAAGGCTCGCTGTTTGTACTCAAAATTACTCACACAAAGCTGCCAAATAATTTACGTTGATTCCACCTCCCCCCCAACCCCCCCTTAATGGTGGATGGATGGCGGGGGGGGGCTCCAGGGGAAGTGGCTTAATATAAATGGCAATTATTGCCAGACCCTGAATGGCCTTTTTACTTAGCTGCGGCACTGTTAATTACTCTAGGGCAATTAACAGGAATGCTAATTGCACAAATTGCTATTTATGCTTCTAATTATTCATGAAACTGGAAAGGTTGTGCAAATACGACAGAATGGTAATTACGTTCTCGTAGATCAATTAGCGCAGAACAAGCACATCACTTTCATCAATTAAATGAGACTAATTGAATAAAACTTTATACGTTTTAACTCCTAATAATTAAACGCAGCGTTTGACGGATGTTCCAATCGACAAGAGCATGTGTCTCCGAATGCGTCCCCCCGAATGGCGTCGAATTTAAACGGATGCTTTCCAGTGAGATAGAAAACAAATGAGTCGCCGGTGCAGTCTTCGCCGTACTTTTGTGCAATGCATCGCACACGCATTGAGTACGAGTCCGCGCAGAGAACGCGGAAATTGACTGCGCCGGCCAATGTCATTATCCGTCTTGTCATTACTATTAACGCCAAGGAATTACACGCGGTGCATTAACGTACACACGTTTCAAATACCTAAAATGCCATTAGATGCCATACATTCAAGCGTTATATGAATGTGTAAAGCAAATATATCGGCGGAAATGGATATGCATTCTTTTCTGCAATTTTCCCTGAGTACGATGCTCACCATTTAATCACCATAACACCCTTTTTATTGTAGAAAGTGTAATAATCATTTCATTTTTATGGGATTCTCATAAATGCATGGCTGCTTGTTTTATATTCTTCATTCTTTCACTTTCGAAAGGCATTAAAGAAAATGCTTTCACAAGACAAGAAAGTATCCTGTGAAATAACTTATCAAGGCCGAGATAGATTCTTTCTCACACGAGGCATCGCTGCTAACACCAACTCTTTCTAATTTTCTAATCCCCTTAGATTTAAAATGCCAGAATTATTTGATATAAGCTGTGATGGATCACACTCATTTTTACAGCATTAACCCTTCAGAGCCGGTGAGTGACTGTGTGCTGACGAAGACAACGCAGAGACTTACACATGCATCTATTGAATTTGGTTAGGAACGGAAGACCTAACAGCTGTACATATACAATGCCTACTAAATCCATTAAGTTGTCCTTTGGCCGTGGAAGTTTCTACGGGTGTTAAGAAATTAACTATTTCAGATGAAGCATCTTCTATTCGCATCGTTTCAGAGTTATTGAATAACTTGTTACTTAAAAAAATCAATTTTGGTTGGTTTTGGTTTCATTTCACGATGGGATTGTGTATGGAAAAACATTACTCATCAATACATGGGTAACAAACGCAATCTATTTCAGTCTCTTGAATTTTGACGTTGAAAATAAAAAGAAAATATAAATGTGTATACCAGCCCAGACATCTGTATTTTAACACAGGTGTGCTGGCCACAAAAGACACACACGGACAAAGGTCCCAGTTCGCCGTATAGCCAGCATAGGCTGTTGGGGCAGGTGCTGTTAGTGAGCACATGTGGAGGCCAAGTCAAAATGCAGAAAGGGGTACATAAACACACACATATGTGCATGCAACGTGCATGCGTTGCGCAGTCAAGTAAATGTGGTCCCATGTGTAAAACAAGCACGCCAAGTATTCATAAGCCTCGGTGGCTTTGAGCCTGTCATGGTAATTCCACATTTATAGGACGAGGGAATGTGTATCCACAGAGCAAACGATGTTAAATTCCCACCAAACAGCACTCACCAGATGTTAGTTATTTTACTACCCCAAGAGAGATGATGATGATGATGATGCATCTCAGTTGACCCTGGCTGGGTTTAGAACTGATAACCCCACGATTGAGAGAGTCCTATTTTGTGCAACAACTGATTGTAAATAATGACACAAAATCAATGGGTTTGCCAACTTGTGAAAGCTATTGCACCGGTGAAGTTCTCTTGCAGCGTTCCTTACAACAACAACAACAAATTGGACACTGATTCACCAGTACTTAACGTGTTGTTTCCATTTATACCATTTGCTTACAGTCGCTGCCGGGAAGAAGAAAAAACACCCTTGAGAAAAGCCACTATGGGACTGGAGGTGGCTGGCTGCCTCTCTCAGAGGTCACTGAATTTAATGAGCATGGCTGAGATCCCGAGTTCAAATCTGAGCAGCTGCCCTGTGATTAAACAGGGCTCTCAAGAGCCGTTAAGTTGATGGCCTCAACCTGGTCACCAATGACTGTTCAAAAATAAAAAAATAAACCATCACAATACGATTGCTTTTGCACTTAATTTGCTCAAATTTCAACTCCGAGGCTTAAGACATCAGTTTTTCCCGTCGTGCGGAAATTCACCTCAGGGCTGTATGGGAAAAATGTGACGCCGTCCACTGTGTAAAAGATAAAAAAATGACATATTCTTTCGTCTTTCGGTAAAGTCACATAGATAGGTTCAAGAAAATAATAAAAAAATAACAGAAAACTACGACGTTTTGATCACAACGCAAGCGGTCGTCTTCAACACAAGTGGTCGTCTTCAGGAAGACGACCACTTGTGTCGCGATCGAAACGTCGTAGTTTTCTGTTATTTATTGTTATTTTCTTTGAACCTATCTACGTGACTTTACCGAAAGACCCAAGAATATGAATTCCTGCAGTCACAAAAGCTTTAAATCAAGATAAAATGACACTTGAAGGATGTTCTCAATCCTGTCAAAGAGGAGAGCGTTGGGCCTGATCCAAACGTTTGCGAATGTCAATTATTATTTTATTCGAATACTCCTTTCGAAGCAATGGGTTGAAAATAAAATATTATTTTACGTAGTTTTGCTACGGCATCAAAATGTGAATCTGAAAACGCGTGTGTTGCGGCTATGAAAAAAAAAAACCCAATATAATTAACTTGTATTAAGGGCATACGGGTCTAATTTCTCACTTGATAGTGTCTCAAACACTGCTAGGCTCGCTGGGCACGGAGATTATCGGCGTGAAGCACAGGTATGCCTATGCATGAACCTTAGCCTACATTCCTATAATCCTTAGAAGAGGTTAAGGACAAAGTAAGGCAAGACGGATGTGGCGTGCAAAGACGATTCCAGGAACAATGGTTCTGGACTGCGCTTGCAAAAATGAAAATTTCCACTCACCTCTCCCTGCGCTGGATGTGCGATCCCGTGCTGGTGTGCTGCCCGTTAGTCAGCGGTGGGTACGTCAGGGTGGGCGAGGTCCTGGGAAGTGGCAGGGCGCCTGGCGGAGCGACGGGATTGCTGAGCGACAGGTCCAGGCCCCCGCCGTTCTTGGTAAGACTCGGGCCCTCCTCTGAGTGCGACCCCAAGGAGGAGGTCTCCTTCCAGAGATGCTGGAGGTCTGACGGAAGGAGGCCTGCGAAGCACAGCCGCCGTTCAACAACGCGTTGGAGCCACACGGTCAACACGCAGAAACAAATGTTCGATGGTACGAAATAATATATCTATCCTACACATCTCACTCATTTTTTTTTAGAACTGCTTTATGTGTTTAATTTGTTGTTCTTTCCGCGCATCTCTGATTAGCATCGTCTGCTACATATGGTGCGTAATAAGTTCTACATACATACAAAGATTAAAAAAACACGGATTTATTCTAATCAACTTTGACCTAACAAGGTCCACCTAATAAGGTCACACCTACTTATACCCACTCATCCACACTGGTCAGATGCGTTGGAAGAGGGAGAGAGTACCCACACTTGAATCCACCTGCTGACAGACGAACTGAGCTGCAACCGTATACCCTACTGAGTGGACAGAGGCGAGCCATTCAACAAATGTGGCCCATTGCTTTACCTGTCATGCAAAAAGCTCAAAATTACAACGTATGGATTGCCAGGTCAGTGTACGGACCATTGCACCAAGGTTAAGGTACCCTGCGACCTCACATTTCGGTAAGATCCACTGCTTAACACTTGAAAATAGTAATGACTTATTTATTCACGCAAACAATATATTTTGTAATTAAATTATGCTATTTTTCCTCAAAATCCTTGTTTTATTTGTTCATCAGATTCGTAATTTGGTTGCCTCCATTTTTTCCCTAAATTTCATGTAAAGGATTGACTTCATGAACCCAGTTAACCTGACGCTGCTCTTTCCGTAATGCTCCGTGATATGTGTGCATCAACGGGGGCAGATGAGATGCCTGAATTGCGAATTCCAGCAGACTGCGCATTAACCATGCGATCAGCCCCCACGGTTTGAGACAACCGTCCGATAACATTTGTTCCAACAGAAGTGGAATTCTTACTGACAACTTCGCTGAAAAAAAAAAAAACTGCACAGACCTCTCTGCTCAACATCGCTCTAATGGATTGCGAAGCTTATTGTTCCGTGGCAAACATACCGAAGCTGTTATCTTAAATTTTTAATGAATATATTTTGGATAAAACTTATATACAGGTATATTTACATTTACCATTGTCGTTTCAAATGACAATCATTCAACACAACTGGTAACAATGACATTACCCGTCAATTGACTAAGCATGTAATGATACATCAATTTGTTTCTTCGAATGTATTTTAAATGGCCGGGTTGCTAAGAGGTCAGAACACTGAGATGCTGCGTTTGAATCAAAGCAAACATCTATTTTTAGGTACAATGAGTTGGTCTCAGCCAGGTCGCCAAAAGACTTAAAAAAAAACACCGTCATATAAAATATGGTTCTGCACATTACGTTGGTGATTTACATCTGTGAAAATGTTACATATTCGTTTTGATTCTCCTGTGAAGAACAGTAGTCAGTCGAATTGTGGGTGGGAAAGTGTGGCCATCTAGGTACCCGACATGCATCTCAGAGGTAGCTCTGAGATATCCGCTTCCTGGGGCAATTCTCTAAAAATAGCAGGTTGCACTGCTTTGTAAGAGTTTTCAATGGATTCTTCATCTCACACATGACACCGATAACACAATCAAGATAGCATTGCGGAAACATTCAATATATTTAAAATAATTTTTATATATGTTGACGATGCACGCTTGTATTAAATTGCCATTACAGTTAGTCAACAAGGGTTACAAAATTCAGCAAATAAAATGGGAATATGTAAAAAAAAATACAAAACGAGAAGCAAATTTTAGAGAGAAAAAAAATATTCCTTAAATAAAATCAGAAACTTTCACATCACGGTGATGCATCACATCACTGGAGGTGAATGAATTCACACACAGGGAGAATTCACCCTTTAGGGTCAGCAAACAGCACGCGGGTGCACTAATTGTGTCCACTAGATGTGTCCCCTAAATGTACCTGGGTTGCGTGTGTGCACGAGGCGTGCCCAGTTGCATTACCTTGTGGCAGCCCAGGGCGCTGGAGGGCTTGCTGCATCAGCCCCTGTCTCTGCAGGGACATCAAATGCTGCTGCTGAAGCTGCTGCATCTGTAGGAGCTGTTGCTGGAATACCAGTTGCTGTGCTGTAAGTGCCTGCGGTTGCTGCTGTTGTGCCTGCTGCTGCTGTTGCTGCTGCAAAATAGAAAAACTAATGCATTAATTCGGGAATAATTAGTTGTGGCGGTGTGAAACGCTGATGCAGTGGTTAGCGTGAAGCATTATGAGCCAGGCAAAACTAAGTCGATTCCCGCGTCATGGCCAATATGCATGTTAATTACGTCTTTAAAAGGACTGATGACCACAATGACAAAGTGTTAGCTGAGGAATGGAACGCATCCGAGGACGTCCAGTGGAGATGGAGCGAAGAATCAGCTCGTATGCAATGTGCTAGGTGGATTGCTACTTTGTGGGATCATGAGCGATAGCGCCGGCTTTGGGAGGCTTTCATTTAGCAGTGGAGTGACCATGGATTGATGATTGATGATGGTACATATGATCCTAATGGCGGTAACCTCAGGGTACCAAATAATACAAAATGGCCGAGGCAATTCAGCTATTTTATTTCTGGGACACTCTTTTTTTCTCCAGGGGTGTACTTAACTCCGCGACTCGGGTACCAATCAAACCGAAATCAGTGGTGACACTCCGCTATGTCGAAACGCAGTGAGGGCGATCGCGCCGAAACGCTGAACGCTCGCACGCACCGTGGTGGTGCATCGTGAGTACAGCTCGTCGAGATGAGTCGATTGCCACATCGCCGACCATCAACAGACTAAAAATGACCGCATCACGGACATCTTGCGAGAGCCGGGGTAACTATGGTACTATGGTACCCCGGGGTACCACCATAAGGTTCATTTGCACAAAATGACATGACCAGGGGAGCACATTCCACAAAATTAATGGACTTGGACATGAATAGACTATTATGTTCAAAGTCAGCCAATGCACAAAACATGCAGTCAAACTATCACATTTGTTTTAAGGATTACTAGATTGAAAACGAATGTACAGTACAGTGATATTTGTGTTATTTTAATGATATCAAAACTTTTAGACTCTCCCTCTTGCATGCGTGCATGCATATACAGAGTGGCCCAAGCCAGCACACGCAGGATTATTTCATTTATTTTAACACTGGCATTAAAACAATTTAATTGTTCACTATTTAAGTTACTATTTGATCTATTATCATCGTTAATACAAAACTCGACCAAAAACTCAATTAATTGAGACAAAACATAATTCATTGATGAATGTTTAGAGATTGCACCTGTGATCTTGGCAAACACATTTTGTTTCATGAATTCGTTTTCAAAAGAGAATTCACGCACGCGTTTATGGTAACTGAAGTCAGTTGGAAAATGTGTCAGAATAACTTAAATAACCCTACGAGATTTGTTGAAATAAATATTGCAACCCGTGAGTGCTGATGTTTTGGCCACCCCGTATATATACGTGCACATTGTTGCACATCTCACTCTACTAATTCGCTTTACATTATCGGGATATTAAACAATGTTTGTTGGTAGAATGTCTGCGATGAGTCATGTTGATGACCCTAGACACAACGTGCGAGTAGGGCATACGGTTTTTTTTTCAAACCCATTCACTGTCAGATTGATTTATAACTTTTCCGAAAAGGCACGGCTCAAAGCCTGTGCAAGCCCACCCCCAAGTCACGGCAGTCAATTAATCAACAACAGGATTCTCAGCTGTATCACAACTCACTTTCACGGTTTGAAATGTCAGGGTAATTTGGCACACCTTCAAGGTACACAAAGACACCAGCAACATCTCCTCCACCGACAACGACGACGCAGCTCATTGCTCCCGAACCTTCAGTTGACAGTGCGTGATCTTTTTTTTTTCTTTCCGTGTGTGTGTGTCATTTTCCAGTCCCCAGGATTCCTACCACATATCTATCATGGGATTATGTTGATTCATTAGCACACTTCCAAAAAAATTGAAGCACTGGAGATTTCTGCTGCAAATAATAAAATGGCACGTATTGAAATCAATGTCACCTTTACCCAATCAGATTACCTTCTAAATGCGCGTTTTAGCGGTTTTTTTTCAAATACGTTACGACGGAGCGTCTGGTAACAGCCAACCACCTCGAGTGCGACAGATCGAAAGTTTGAATCCCACAGCCTGAACTTTAGTTCAATAAGATATCCCAAAACACTTCAACAATCGAGGCTATTTGACCCGTCACATTCAGCCAGTGGGATGCTGCTTCTGCCGCTATCTAGTGGTCAGTCACACCACACTTGCAATCCGGAGGTTCACGGGTCGATCTCCCAGCACGGCAGTGGAAGCAATTGTGCAAGCGTCTTAAATCCCACCTCCCGCTGTCCACCCAGAAGTATAAATAAGTGGGTGCGCTACAGTTAATCAATCGGCAGGCCGCGTGTGGTGGGATAAAGTGTGGGTACTCCTACACTGTTCACGATGTGTGGCCAGCAAGGAAGAGTAGGCCAAAACACCCTTCGTGGAGAGGCTCTCTAGCGCTCCCTCTAATGGAGGTCCATTCACCAGCAGTGGCTTAAGCCAACACACATTTCGGGTTAACATCCAATGGGCACGATGCGGAAGTATATTATTTCAGTAAAAAAAAGTAATATATCAGAATGTTGCTGTCTTGCTGGCTCATGGGTAGAGCAAGCAGGTCGCAATCTGACAGTTGCAAAGTAAAATCCTTGTTTGAAGTTGGCTTGGCCAATAGTCCCTAGAAGGTCAATAAATTGGTTACCACTTTGTGTAGAAATCAAGCAGTCGTCCTTTGGAGAGACTCACCCCGGCCATAGGAATGCGGAATTTCCAACCACTGGCTGAGGGCTGTGAACACAAGATGAGCAACGTCTCCATGCTCATTTGGGCAAGAAATAGCTTCTCTTTATGTATTGCTATCCTGAGTGACCACGGGTGAAGGGACGGGCGGTTTACATATTGTCGCTTCTCGCTGGATTTCGCAAAGAACGGTGCAGAGAGCCACGGCGCGAAAGCTAATTGTAGCAAGGTTGCGGACGTCTTCAGCACTCAGATCCTTTGCACTCTAGTCACAGGGCCCGGACCCCAGTGTAAACAACTGTCATCGTGTTATAAGTACGAGCTAAAACCCGCAGCACGCTTGCAAACAGCCAAGGTCGAGCTTTTGGAATACATGAATAACATCACGGAAAATGTGAGTGCCGCGTTGCACTCGGCGCAGTAAAGGATTTTTCGGACGAGCCGTTTTTTGTTTTTTGTTTTTGCCAAGCCTCTCTGCTCCACTCACTTGGCCGCCACCAGCCGCCACGCGCGTGGGCGCCTAACTGCGGCGACGCACGGCAAAGTGGACGTGACAAACGGTAGCGGGGACTTGGGCCATCAAGTGCCCGCTACCGTGATATCGAACCTCGCTTTTCCCGTTATCTTTGATCGCGGTTTCCCGTTCCAGCGCAGCTCGTCGGTGAACAGCATCTGCCGTGAACGTGCGCCGTAAAGCGGGCTAAAGGTGCAGCTCCGCAATTTCTTGCTCACACCACTGCTGGCGAAAAGCCCCCCCCCCCCCACCCCACTAGAGAGCTTTGGAGAGGCCCTCTAGAGGGTATTTTTGGCCTCTTCTTCCACACTGGCCAGAAGTCTCAGAACAGGTGAGATGCACCCAGCCAGACCACGCACGCAAACTGGTGATCAAACGTGGTGTGACCCATTCATACTGCTTGGATGGACAGAGACGCGGGGGGCATTTAGGAAACTTGCCACACCGGGAGGTCGCTCCGGCAACCTCTGGATCGTAAATCCAGAGTGCTCGTCATTGCACCACGAGTTCCACTCAAGATGTTTCGCTAAAATCTTTCGCCCCAAAAAACAAACGAGACCTCCAAATCGACTATCACAGCATTCTTCAACCCTCTTTGCGAGCGGGCCACGTAACAAAGTTGGTGTGTACCGATGAGACATGTGACGTCATAACATATAACGTCACGCGGTGTCATGACATTTATACATGTGACTGCTAATCTACATCTCTTGTCGATGGCTATCTTATCGCTATCTCTAGTTTATCTAATCTCATCTAACTAATCGGCATCTCTTTTCTCCAGGACCCCAGGATTTTATCTCTTGTTCATCTCTTTATCATGTCGGTAATCTGTATATATATGTTTTTTTTTAATATCTCTCGACAGATTTAAACTCAAGGCACCACTTCAAGAGTCTTCGCAGCGCACCGCACGTGGCTTATCATGCGGAAATGTATAGCAGCCAAATACTCTAAATGCATGCTTCCAAATGTGGAGGGAAAAAGCGGGGAGAACAGGCAAGCTCCAAATATACAGGTCAGGATCGAACCCACGACCACCTGTATACCAGGTGAGGGAGTTAACATTTTGCAACTGTGACGCCCCATTTAATAGTTTGAAGCAACGAGTCAAACTCAATGGGGAATCACAGGCAACTAAAATCCCTGCAATACATCCATTGCAGAACAGGTAACACCTGGTCATGGAATATGCAGTGAGTTTGCGACTGTCAGAGAAGGATGTAAAACACGCACTTCCTTTGCATGCTTGGCAGCATGTTGCTGCTGCTGCTGTTGCTGCTGTTGCTGCTGCTGTTGCTGCTGTTGCTGCTGCTGTTGCTGCTGCTGCTGTTGTTGCTGATGTTGCAGCAGTTGCAGGTGAAGCTGCTCTTGTTGCTTCTTGTAAAATTCCTGCAGCTGTTGCTGAAAAAAAGACGAGATCGGCTGTGAAATGGAGAAATCGAAGTGACAGCATTAGACAGATAATATTGAGCGGTTTTTTTTCGTACATTTAATTTAATGTAAACAAAGCCACGAATTAACATAAAACAGAAATGAATTTCAAACCACTGTATAAATATACTGATAAATTTCATTTCCTAATTGAACATGTCATTACAATGGATTTCTTTAGTTACACAATCGTCTAATTTGCTGAACACATTGTGCAAAAGAGGGCACCATAAAATGAAATGCTATGCAAATTTGATTTAAGAATATATTTTTTTAAGTTTTCTACTTCGTTCTATTTCCAATGTTCACTCAGGTCAACTGCAGATCCTATTGAGGCCTCTGACCTGCCAAGGTGTTAGAGGTTTTTTTTTTCTTTTTGTGTGACTGAGCAATCATTATCTTATACTCAACAGGATGCCAACACCTGCCGACAATGTTAATTAATCTGTCAGCAATTCCTCGCTCCCGGGCCTCCCAGGCGATAAGAATCTTGCAAATGAACAAACTGAAAAGTCCTCCCCCCTCAAATACCAGCCCTTCCCGCCAGCTGAAGGACATGTTAATAAGGCAAACAGCAATCCTTTTATCTTGCGGCCGTGGATGACTTTACCTACACCCGCACACCCAACTGAGCGTGCATTATCAGTGCTGCACAGCCCCACTTCCTATGCAACTTGCTAAAAAGCATGACTGATGTGCTAATTTCAGAACACAAGCCAGCACAAAAGGGCGCAAGCCCAGCCTCTGAAGGACATGCACTGAGAAAAACGCCTGAATCTAAAGGGATGGCTAAGGTAGGTGGCTTCCCTGATGGTTATATATGTTTAGAGAGAAAAAAAACATGCTTTTGAAAAGTGGTATAGGGTTGTGACGGGCGGGGTGAGTTGGGCCAGGCTTAACAACAAGCGGAGAGGCTTTCTAAAAGGCGTTGGAAAATAAAGTCGCATGCAGGAATCAAACCAAATAAATTGATCTTGATCAGAACACGTCTTTGTAGGGCAGTGTTGTAATGCTTTTAACGTGGACTGTAGTTTACAAATGGATATACGCCGATAACATCTATCACTGAATTGAACTGTGCACAAAGCAACGTCACAGGGATACGTCGATTATTATTGCCATGAGCTAAGGGCAATATAGTATTAAGAAAGAAAATGCGATTATGAATTCGACGTTGGCCTGATTTTTTTTCATGTCTGTGTCTTTTTGTCAGTCTTGTCTAACCGTTTAATTTTTTTTAAATTGTACGAAAAAAATGAAAGTGGTTTCAATCTAAAGTAATCTTTTTTTTAAAAGAATAAATATAAATCACATTATCAGTCGTATAACAGAGATCATTAAATCTTATTTTTTGTAATCCGACAAGGAATGGAACGCATCCAAGAGGTGTTCCGTCCGCTGGGGAGATGGAGCGATGGAATCGGCCCGTGTTCACGGGACTGGTGGATTGTTACATCGCAGAGCAGTCAGAGATGGTGGCGACTTGGGGGGGGGGGGGGGGCTTCATCCAGCAGTGGATTGGCCATGGCTGGTTATCATGATTATCATTAGATTAACTCACTTTGAATGTAAACACATTCAAGGAGTATCTTTATCTGAGAAAATATGAAGATCGGTATGTATTGGTGGTGCTGTGATTGATTTTTGACCCAGGTCTCCATTGAAAAAATAAAAAAGAGAGACTCCTGTTCTCAATGGACTCTTAACCCGGCTTAAATAACGGCAATCGAGCATTATCAATCACATTGATGCATTTGCTCAACGGCAATTGCATTACTGTTTCCATCATACACTTATCACCATCGTTCGCATTCAATCACTGTAATCCTATTAAACGTCCGTTATGTAGCCAGGTAAGTGCCATTTTAGGGATATATTTTTTTTCCCCTCTTTAGAAAGTCGAACCGACGTACATTCGTTTCGGGGCCGCCCGTGTTACATTGTCACGTTTCGCAGAGAGGAACAAAAAAAGCGCACCGTTTTTATTTCTATATCCGTTCGCAGCAGGAGGGAGGGGGTATGCTTTGGGATTTCGGGTTTTTCGACCCACCTGCTGCAGCATGACACTCTGCTGCTGCTGCTGCAGGAGGACCTGTATCTGCTGCGGGGAGAGCACCTGCTGCTGCAGCAGCTGCTGCATCTGCTGAGACGTGATCACCTGCGGGGTCATCATAGCCATGGACACCGGCACCTGTAGGAGAAGAGAGCGGAAGGCCGTCCGGATTTTAGCACGCAACGAGCGTCGTGGCGACGTTAAACGCCGGCCGCGGCTGCCGTCCCCGGCTGATTGATCGGCCGTGTTGCGGTGAGCGCGCGCGCGGCCCCCCGACACGACCGCACTCGAGCACGTCGCACGTATGTTGATAGATGCTGACCCACGTGACGGCGCATCGACTCGCCAAACTAAAAATTAATTATCACGCTCGCGATGCACGCGTGGATATGTGTGTATATATATAGATATACGTGTACGCGCACTGGGTGACGCGCGATGGGGGAGACACGTGTCATTTACGAAAAGGATTTACGTGGATCGTATAAGGAATATTTCTTAGCTCTTTCGGTAAAGTCACGTTGAAGGGAAACAATAAAATATATATGAAACAAAAAAAAATTCTCACGACGTTTCGACCATATATATTTATTATGTATATTTTGTTATTCTATTGTTTCCCTTCAACGTGACTTTACCGAAAGAGCTAAGAATATGAATTACTGCAGTCACGAAAGCTTTAAATCGTATAAGGAATGTTGGGTGTTTGGGCTAATAGAGTGAACGGAATTGTGCAAACGAGACGCACCAAAAAAAACCTAAAAAACAATACAAAGGAGTTAGTGAAAATGAGACAAGAAGCAATCAATCAAAATTCTGGCACTTCATTGCATCGTGAATGTGTCGATTCATTACATGCCAAACAGATACTCGTGTCATACGCATGAGCGTTCATACCCGCACAGATTATTACAATGCATACATTTGCATGTGTTAAAAACCCAGCTATGGCTCATACCAGCAGTGAGTGACCTCTGAACCAGTCTTGGGTGCCCGTATCACCCACCCACAATGACCAGCGTGGCAACGTACGCTCGAACAACCACCATGACCCAAAACAGCATTACAATGTATTCATCCAGCAACTGACTGGCAAAGGACTGATCATTATTATAACTGTATTTTAGATGTATATATATAGATTATATATGCACATTTTTTTGCTGAACAAGTAAAAAAATAATTGCGCTGCAAAAAAAAAATATTATTGTATACATTCCCATATTGCAATACATGCATTGCTTCATCCTTACATCAATGCCATTCACAGAATGTATTTAAAACCCATTGCCAGGTACAGCTACACACAGCTACTGCAACCACATTTTGTATAGCCAAGCCATTGAGTCTGGCAAACGATCAAGCACGGGGTTGAGCCTGAAAAATTATTATTGTTACGTAGGCGCATTTATTTTTTTGTGATAGTGCATTGGCAGTGGTGCAAAAACACAAGCAATAACTGAAATCAACATGTTCGTCAAAACACTGCCCTCGGTTCGAGAAAAAGAACGCGTACAGAAAACCGGCAAAGACTCTGACAATTGCATCAAAGAGCGGGATGCTGCATTAATAACCTGAGAGTTCTCTCCGCTACGAAGGGATCGCTCTGTTGTGCAGAAGGGTCATTGGATAAAATGTTGCCTATTTAACAGATATTTTACAGATGTGTTGTAAAGTAGATCACTCTGTTCGACTTCAATGCAATGCGTGTAGCGTATTCTCCACATTATCTAAATCAATTCTCCCGTTCTTTTTTTTTGGAAAGCAAATGTGGGGGGGGGGGGGGGGAGGGGGGGGGTCTTATTATCCATTAGTTCCGTTTGTGCGAAATTCACATTAAAAAAATAACTTTATTAATACTAGGCACGAGTACGTGTGAATGTGGTGCATCTTACTTTCAGCGTTACCTTACAATCCGGTGAGTACGGCACATTGTACATGTAAGCTGCGCACACAAGCAGCTTCCTCGAAATGTTTTGCTAAACACCTGACAGTTGTTTGATTAATTCCACTGGACGTGCACGCAGGGTTTAAGCAAAAACAAAACTTAACAGCAAAGCCTCGTAATTGCGGGTGAGACTGCTCGTTAACGAGGAAGCGTACTTTCTTCAACATTGATGAGGAAATATGCGTACGCTACGTATGGCCACTGGCGGAGCTAGTCGGGCGGTTTGGGGGGGTGGTACATGCCCCTCCAATGATCCGATCGAAATCTCTAATTTTTATAGTATCATTGGGGTTTATTAGTAATAAATCGGCATTTTGAGACCCCCCACTGCCACTGTGTAGCATATTATTACGTGCCAGGGACTCTATGAGATGACAGGACGATAGTCTGAGTCCATAATTGGCAATAAGTAACGGCAAAGCAGTTTTATGTGACTCACAGAATTGTGCGCAGTTGCGTATACAGTCCACGACTTCCCTGAAGGCATCAACACCTCCAGTGAGCGTGATGCCGATCACACAACGCGGTTCGAATTCGACCCTCGATCGATGGCCGCGCCATCGCCGCACACGCCTCGAATAAAAACCAAGGGACAAGTCCTTACTTACTAACAACTCCTATAATTTTTCATTGCTGGAGGGGTTGCCCTCCCCCCCCCCCCCCACCTGAAAATCCTGGCTCCGCCATTGCGTGTGGCTGCCGTGGCCGGCGGGCGGGCTACCTACGGGAGTACGTGTCGACAACTCAATCTCCGTGGCCCGCGTCCAACAAGGCTCTGCGCCTACACGAACCAGCATCTCGTTCTATGATGCTGAAACACTCCGATGGTGCCGTTAGACTGGCACACCGCGATCCTCCAACGATGTTAACTACCTCGCCTGCTCGCCTGGTATGCACGAGGTCATGGGTTCGATGTCCAACCCTGACGCCTGCTGTATATTTGGAGCTTGCATTTCTCACCATGGTTCAACATACATGCATACATGGTGGTCGCGTGGAATTTTTCCCGGGTCCTTCGGATTTTCCCCTCCAAATTTAGAATCAACACGCGTTTAGAGCATTTGGCTGATATAAATTGCCACACGATAAGCCACTTCGTTGAGCTATCGTTTGTGGCCAGGTCACGTCTGAAGAATGGATATATAGCTCAGTGTGCCTTGCCCTGGTAAGAATGAACAACATTCAGTGCCGTTTTAGATTAATGAGGCATTCAGCATGGACCTCCTGGAAAAAAAAAAAACAGGCCAACAGACAAGTGGGTTACAATGGCTACAACCGTCACACCGCCCTCTCGAACGAATTTCAATACACGGTCCCCTTTCATCTTCCAATATATTCAGGCGAGCGAGTGAAGGTGAGCGAGGTAATATATCCACTGACATGTTGACCAAGCCAAGCTCTCCCCACACACTTAGCCCTTAAGCGCTCTTTAGCAGCCCAACGGGACTTGTTGGAGCTTTCTTCTCTACCCGCCGAAGCCAAGGTGACAAGCATTGGTGACCACTTGTATCTTGTTTTGCCATTTACCATTGTGGCCATACCGCTGTATGCTGCAGGCGGTTATTGTGTAAAACTTATTGCAGGAATCGCACTGCACAATGTCCTCATGCTGTTAACTCTACCCAGCTGTGACACCCACCTCGATTATAAAACAAACATTCGAGTGTTTTTTTTTCTCTTTTTTGCAAAAGCAAAGCAAAATATTCTTCTTCTGTATTAGTCCGCAGATGGGATGGTAAAAAAAAACACGGTGTGCACCTTCCCAGTTCTTGGGATTTGACTGTGGGACTTTAGTGCACACATCGATGGATAGTCTCAATTGGAATAGTACAATGTGTTCCATGATTTGATCAGTTTACATTCCTTATCTATCAAACGTGGCACGCCTGAGTGAGACCGTAAAGATACGCTCAGAAATAAACATGTTCAGGATATTCGAAGCACATCAATGGCCAACTCACCTGGAATGGGTCTGATCTCATCTGATCTCGGAACCTAATGCAGGGTTGACTGGATAGCCCTATGATGGGTCATAAACATGTATGTCAGGTTGTGATGGGCAGCTACAGGGCTGTGCTACCCGGTATCAGCAGAGGGCAGTCCAACCAAATGTATTTTCACATTGTACTTCTATGTTTGCACGTCTATGCTCCCCACCTTCACCAACACGCGATGATCAGTGTGGTGAAGTATGGTCAGCATCAATGGTCGGCATTGATACATTGAGAAGTACAAAACTGAAAGGGCTATCAATAGATCGCCACATAAGCAATGACACAGGACTTAAAAGTCACAAGCACATGTGTTCTGTATATTCGAAGTCTTCAATACAAATTACGGTTGAACTGGGAATCTGTAAATTTGTTTGTGAAACTACATTAAGTGGCCATATATTTTGTCAGGATACAATGCCAAAAATATTGAACAGGAGAGCCGAATGAGGTGACAGAGAATAGGTTCTCAGGCAGTCTGGAACGCTCGTCTTTTCTAATATTAGGAAGCTGCTGGAGCTATGCACTTTTAAATCTAGATAAAAAAACGAATTTCTTTAGAACTGCTTTATGTGTGTTTGTTGTCCTTCCCCAGCAATTCCGATTAGCACGGTTGGCTACGTACGGTGTTGAAGACGTTCAACATACATACATACATATGTGACCGGGATGGCTAAACCATGGCACCGAGTCTCTTTACTGCTTAATCTTTTTCTAAGTCGGAAGATTCATGACTGAATGACAGATTTCTCTTTATTCGTGTAACTTCTACCTCAATTCACATCCACCACCCTCCTCATATCTCTTTCCACCCCACCCTTCGATTTTACTCTCAATATCTGCTCTCCTTCTTCTGCCTGGAAGTCCCCTTCAGGACTGGAAATTTTGCTCAACATAATTGGCGATCCCATGATGTTCCAAATGCATGGCTCTCCTCTGGGAATTGTGGGATAGCTTAGGTAGGACAATTACCGGGTAACCGAGATAGTTTGATATCTAAGTGGTGGGGAGGTTATATGTGCATGTATTTATTCAGAGACGATGCTCCAACAGGAATCTGAACACCTTTTTGGAGCGCAGTTGCGTTTACTTATGTTTTCCCTCAGAAATAATCTTTAACGAAAAATTAAACGATAACTAAAAAAAAAAATGTTTATCATGTTTTTTTTTTAATAATTGCCGAAAATCTGTGATTATGT